TCAGAGTATGCGCAGAGGGAAAGAGGAACAAGAGAAGAAAGACAATCTCCTCCATCTTTTTTTCTTTCTTTCTTTCTTTCTTTCTTTTTTTTTTTTTTTATTTTTATTTTTATTTTTTTTTTTTGGTGAAAGACATCATACCAATTACGTTCAATGTTGTCATCTCTAGTGCGCCCTCAAGGGAAAAGAATGCTCCTATCTGCCGAGCAAGCGAGGAGGCCCTCGGAAGAAGAGGGCTGATCCTCCTTCGTCCCTGGGCGATACGATGCAAAGCAGAGTCTGGTCTGCTGTGCATCCAGTTCCCCGAATAGACGAAGGTTTGTCCTACATGCAAGCGTTTTTTATACCATCGTTATGGTCAATATCATTTCGTCAGTATTCTCTTCTGGCTGACTCTGGCTAGTAGAAATATTCACCCAGGTAGACGACCTCGCCGTCCCGGGTGCCGGGTTAAGACATCTCGATTTCCCGGTCGATGTTCAATCGATGTTGGAAGGCCTTTTTGTGCCTCCAAATGCTCAGCAACAAGTTCCGGTTCATTCGACGCCCGCTCACCCCCCGCCTGTACCTCCCGCTGAGCCGCCAAGGGTAAGGTTATATGGGAATGAACAAGACATGTGAGTAACTTATGATTATCCTAGAATATATTTTTTATACCTTTTTTACCTTGACTATAACCATCATTAGTTACCTGTGCGGGTACACAACACTAACAAATGATAACACAGACTGAATTCTTACTATATTTATATCCACTACTACTTCCCCATCTTCCCCCCACCACACTCACCGATAGCCGTTGACCGGCCATTGAACACACCAGTCAAAGCTCCAGCTACCCCTACCTCAGACCCCGTCCTTCCATACAAGCCCAAATCTCCTGTCACTCTGGCTATCTCGGCCGTACTAGCGTTGATCCCTCACCCCCGGGATCCGAACTCATTTGCACCCGAATCAGTACTCCTTCGAAGAGCTTATGCTCATGCTTTTGCCCGAGAAGCTGTTACAAGTATCGAAGCAGAATCAGACCTCCAAGAATCTGTCACCAGTCCATCCGAAGCTCTGACCCATAATTCAACCGTACCTACCAGGCTGATGGTCCACCCACTCACCCCAATTGACCTCGAAGGCATCCTTGCCCTTCTTATCCTAAGTATATACGAATATACTCAAAGGGGAAACCTGATCAAAATGCGGCATAGAGCGGGCCAGGCGTACATTATGGCAATGAACCTTTCATTACATGCCATCACGCACGACGACAGCCCGTTCGCCGAAGCCAGAAGAAGAGCATGGTGGATGACTGTACGAGAAGATTCCTTTTCATGCACTAGATTCCATAAAGTAATACAACTTTCTAACTGGCTTCATAGTTCTACTGCGTTTGTCAAGGATCCATTGTGGGTACCGTGGTAAGTATACCCCTTTTATCACTTTAACAATGTAGAGGGGGCTGATGTATACGCAGCCGATAACGATATTAACACATGACCCCCGGTTTACAACGCCATATCCGCGATTTACATCCGATTCTAGAGTACGTCCACCCGCCATCTGATTTCTGTTTTCTACTGACCAATTTCGTTAACCACTATTCTCTCCCTAGGCATGGTCTATATTAATTCAAGCACAGCAGGCGCTGGTCGCCGCCACCCAGTATATCATCGACTTTAATCGGGCAATGAGGGCAAAAGCGAACCTGGCCATCATCTTTGAACGGATGGGAAAGCTCACGGCCTGGACTTCATCTATACTAGCACAAATAGATGCACCACTCCAGGAATCCTCAGTTGCTCCCCCTCAAGATATAGAAAGTATCACGGCTCAAAGTATTCGATATATTTCACGAATAAAGCTGTGCAGGTGAGAACATTCTTTTCATCAAACACCATAATGACTTCATACCTTTCTTACAATATTTTGCCGACAGTGCACGGATAAAGACACATCGATTCCGTGCCTTTCTCGACATACCAATATTTATCAAAAAGCACTGTGACTTGACTTGTGCGAGCATAAGCAGTCCGACCACAGAGAGCTCTCCAAGCGCACTGGAATACCAGGATACTATACAGCCGATAGCCTGTTGTTCCAGTAACTTCAGCCAACTCCCAGCTGCGCCTCCTGCAAATACCCAGTTAGAAAGCCCCATCTCTTCCAGCTCCCCAATATCCGATACTTCCGGATCTCGATGGATACCCGGGGATTCGTTTCCTTTCTCGAATTATACATCGACCAGCATATGTCTGGAGGCTGCGCTATCCATCGCTCAGATGTTCGACAGTCTACCGTATCCCAAGCCCACATATGACAAGGAGTACTCGTCCCTGGGATTCACGCCCGTTGTTCCTCGGACAATGCCTTCATTTGCCTGTTGCGCGATGCAGAGCAGTTACGCTATGCTTATGCTTTACTATAAGTCTCGCGCAATTAATCCGGGGATGGTCGAAAGCCCGCTAAGCGACACAGACCAGCTTGGTGAAGAGCTACAACATGGCCTAGAGTGCGTTATTGGTGCTGTACGGAATTATTCTATGGCTTTTGAAGCGCTAGGTGGGATGAGAGGTAAGCATGGCCATCTCACGTCAAGTAAGGTGTACTAGGAAACTAATGAGATTAAATAGATGAGATTGAGGGAGCATTTCTCACGGCATTCCCGCAAGATTAGCCATACTTAACTACTCGGCTCTCTTTTACTACTTTTAGGAACTCTCTTCGTTATGATATATTGCTAGCTACATACATCTTCCTACCTGTAATGAATCTATCTGTCAGATACGTTCCGGCCTAACGATACAGAATCAATGTTGCCTGAATACCCTGGCTCTCTTACACCTGTTCCCCCATACCCAAGCCCATTATAAATTTCCAGGAGCTTTTTAACGTGGGCGACTATGTATACACTGGCTTGCGTGGAATATCAAATTTGGTAGGAAGATATATGTTCTCTATCAGAAATGTTCATGCGATTAAAACTCCTCGCTCCTATGAGTGAGATAATCGCTATCCTTCTATAAACCAAATAAATACAAGCCGCTTAAACGCATTAGGTTATAGTCAATAGTCTATATATTGCGAGGAAAGACAAATGGTATCAAAGTTTAGACCTTATCCCCTCTAACCGAAATTTAACGTCCTTCAATGTTTTTGTGGATGGCTTCCAGTCTTCGAACTGTTTTAACAGTTCCATGGTTTCATCTGACAATTCATGTCGAACATATTCTTCTTCTAGGACGCCACGCATCGCAAACGGAAGTATGTACGGGTTGGCGGTTGAAGTTGATGCTGTGGGCGCAATCATCTTATGAAATTGGATGGCTGTGTTGCTGATCACAGTCGTTTCTAAGGCAAACCTTATTGCTAGTCTAGAAGCGGTCAGCCCATTAGTAAAATGCACATATACGGTTTTTTTTGGATCTGTGGAGGCCCAAAAAAAGGAAGGGGGGGGAGGTGGGTGGGTTGGAGGGTTGAAATACTTGTAGACGTCCTTGTCTTCATATAGACGGGAGTGACCTTCTCCCGTGTATAAACTCCCAGCGAGAGGAGAACTGAGTTCTCGAATCAGGCCGTGGTCGGAGACTCCTAGGTTACGCAACTTCATAGTAAACCCAACCAGATGCGAAAGACTAGAAAGATACGGGTAAGTATGATACTTTGGTTTAACATGTCATTGGAGGATGTTTTCATGATAATTGACTCACAAGCTGGGAGCATGTACCCGTCCATCGACAAATACAGCACGATAGATATGAGGATGTGAAACGGTTGTAAAGGTAGAAGACTAGTAACTAGCGGTAAGCGCATGTCGAGGCCAAAGCATACTTGCATAGTCATCTAGTGGATGAATACTCACCTCCAAAGATACAAGTTGATCGTCTATACTTCCAACATAAGTAACCTTTACGCCAAAATCCAGAGCAGCCTTCAAAGCGGCCCGATAATCCTTTGAGACTTTGCTTTCAGCGTCTGTAAAATCAAACAACTCTCCGGCTGACCCGCTGATCCAACGGGATCTATAGTCAGCGAACGGTCCTAGGTTGATACCTGCCATCGCGCATATGCCGATCCGAGCGCTGCTCACACAGCTAAAGGCTATTAACTTCGAGACCAGCATCGTTGCAACTGGGACACCTTGGCTGTGGCAAGAGACGAGGACAAAGTCAGCTTCCCGAATATGCTCAATCCAGTTGAGAAGCAGCTTCCAAAGCAAATCGACCCGTTCAGAAATGCGCCCTTCGCCCTCGAGCGCAATCTTTTCTATGTGACAGGGTGAGTTATTTTCATCGGCCCATTCTTGAATTGCATTAGCGGCCATAGATGCAAACTTAACAGAGGTTCCTGTTGGCTGGCCAATAACTGTCCGTATTAAAGGTGTAGGGAAGTACCCATGGATACCGATCGCAATGGCCTTTTTTATCTGCGGAGTGGTTTGGCTCCGTAAGACATGTCTTGGTTCCGATCCCTTCTTATAGAGCAGGCGACTGAGCTGCTCGATGAAACTAGGTTTGCTCTCGAGAGGGAAACTCGTTTGGAAGGATGGCAGAACCTGATTTGGCGGTGTTTGCTCCCCTTTCTTCGTTGATGGAGCCGCAGGGACATTCGCTGGCTGAAGTGGGGGCTCTTTGGGGACGGTTTGCGAAGAGGTTTCTGGGGGAGTTGCGGCTTGAGGTATAGCGGTAGATGTTTTGACACGAGAGTTCTTGGAAGACGGGATACTTTGTGTCTCTGCAGCCAGTGAATCCCCCTTCACCTGTTCCTTCGCGTTTCCATCAGGTGGCACATTCTCAGATGCATGTTCCCCTTTCTTGGCAGAGGAACCTGTCTCTGCTTGCTGTCTCGGCCAAAACAGCCATCCTGATGCCGATTCTCCGCGTTTGTGGGTAGTTTTTTCGGCAGATTGATTTTTATCACTTGCATCTTCTGATTGTGATGGATTAATACTTTCTTCTTGCGGATTAGAGTGTGATGTATCGATGGTGTTCCCCGCGCTTTGGGGATTCGATGTTGATTCAGGTGATTCAGGTGGTTTTGCTTGAGAGCTAGCATTAGATCCGCCCCATAGCTGAAGCCACGACCTTGATTGTGAAACCTGGACTTCTTTGATTCCAGAGGCATCATGTTTGTTGATATCGTCTTTGGTCGTACTGCATGTATCTTCAAGTCCAGCCTTCGGCTTAGACGAGTCGGCCTCTTCCTTCACAACGGCAGGGTTGGATGGCTGCGGAGAAGGTTCATTTGTGGTCTTCGCCATTGAGAGCCACTCGAACCAGCCTACCGAGCGAGGTTGTTCGTTATGTGTCTCCTTCTGTGGCAGATCAACTGTTGTTTTTGATGGCGCATTTGGTGAGCCCTTATTTTGCTCACTGGGCTGGGTTTCTTGCGGTGTTTGGTCCTCCTTCGGTCCGCCTTCCACCTTATCCGTACCTTCGGACGGCTTTAAGCCGTTATGAACGTTCCTGACAATATTATTCGAGATGTTTTGTTTTGGCATAGATGGGGCCTCTGTGGATGCAATATTCACTTTTGTGGTGGCAACTTCCGCTGGAAGTGACCGCGCAGATATTCCAACCCCTTTCGTCAACTGGATTGAAGGAGGCCGGGAGGATATGGCTGTGCTTCGTAAAGACGAGGAGGATCGCGAGCGTTGGGAAGCCGCTGAACTAGCTACCGATATGCTCTCACGGGCGACCTCGGTAACGGCCGCCGCCTTGGACTGAGTGGGCCAAGATCTAAGGTACCAGCTCTATGGGAAAAGGAGGGTCAGTAGAGGCAGACCTAATAAAATAGCAAAAATATTCTCACCATTCCATCTCCTGGTAGTTCCTTGATGGTGTCTTCGTTGGTAGTCGCACCACTCGTACTTGGTGGATGTGAACTGCTGCCTTTCTGGCCCTTTGATGCTCGTGCGGCACGCGCTGCGGGAGCCATCGAGGCCGATGGTAGAGCATCACCACGCAGTTTGGCGGTGCAGAGATGTGTCTATCATGTTCTTCTGGTCAAGAGGACGCCCCTCCAAGTGTGTAGGTAATGGTTGCAGAGGTTCAAGATGTTGTCTCTTTTGCTTCTTCGATGCGCCTCGTCGTGGTCAGTAGCTCAAGTAACGTGATGTCATTGATTATATAATAATGAATCTGATAAGGAACTGATTAGGGCGGTGAGGCTCGGCAGAAAAGTTGCTTTTGCAGAGCTTTTTTTTTTTTTTCTGTGCTGAAAGAACATACATGCAGACAGCCAGCCACGGTCAGTTTTTATATATCAAGGAGGGAGAAGTTGAGTACTCGGGGACGGGTCATTATAGTACACCATGGCGATCCAGAAGAAGGTAGGATATTCACTGTTATGTCTCTTGTGCTGTGAATGGGAGGTTGCTGACTATTTGGCTACTCAGCATGGAAAAGGTCGTTTAGATAAGTGGTATCGATTGGCAAAGGAGAAGGGATACCGCGCGCGAGCTGCCTTCAAATTGATCCAGCTGAACAAGAAATATGGCTTTCTCGAGAAGAGTAAAGTCCTTCTAGATCTTTGCGCAGCCCCAGGTGTAAGCCAAAGCCTCCCTTTTTTGGTATCCCACTGGTATGCTTAAAGTCCGTTGACGTCCTAACGCCATCTTATGAATGTTTAGTCTTGGTGTCAAGTTGCGGCCGAATGCATGCCATCGCAGAGCCTTATAGTTGGCGTTGATCTCTCCCCTATCAAGCCGATCCCTAAAGTCATCACGTTCCAAAGCGACATCACAACTGATAAGTGCAGGGCCACAATTCGACAACACTTCAAGACTTGGAAGGCAGACACAGTACTTCACGACGGTGCGCCGAATGTCGGTACTGCCTGGGTTCAAGACGCTTTCTCCCAGGCGGAATTAGTTTTACAGTCATTAAAGCTAGCAACGGAATTCCTGGTACCCGGGGGCAGTTTTGTCACGAAGGTCTTCAGATCAAAAGATTATAATCCTCTTCTTTGGGTTTTCAAACAGCTCTTCACCACAGTGGAAGCCACCAAACCGCCATCATCTCGAAATGTGTCCGCTGAAATCTTCGTTGTCTGCCTCGGATTTAAAGCACCCAAACATATAGACCCCAAGTTCCTGGACCCCAAGCATGTCTTTGCAGAATTGCAAGATCCAAACCCGAATAATGAGGCCAAAGTTTTCAATCCAGAAAAGAAGAAGAGAAAGAGAGATGGATACGAAGAAAATGACTGGACCCAGCACAAAGTATTACCAGCGACGGAGTTCATAAACACCATAGATCCTATATCAATTTTGGGTTCGTATAACAAACTCACATTTACTCAATCGCCGGGCGGGGATCTCGCACTTGCTACACTGGAGCGATTACCAGAGACAACCAACGAAATACGGATGTGCTGTGAGGATCTCAAGGTTCTCGGTAAAAAGGATTTCCGACAACTGTTGCGATGGAGGATCAAAGTGCGCGAGAAATTTGGACTAGCGGTGAAAAAGGGGCCAAAGAATGAGGAAGCAACTGAAGAGATTGCCGAAGTTGAACCCATGGACGAGGAACTTGCCCTCCAAGAAGACCTTAGGCGTATGCATGAGCGTGAGACTTCTAAAAACAAACGAGAACGGCGAAAAGAGAATGAGCGAAAAAGAAAGGACATTGTCAGATTACAGATGAATATGACAACGCCAAAGGAAATAGGAATGGAGCAGGCTGGTCCCCTGGGAGATGGAGCAATGTTCAGATTACGGACAGCAGAGAAATTACCGGCTGCACGCTCAATATCTGCTAGTAGTATGACGGCTGCGTTAGAAAGCAGTAGTGAAGAGGAAGAAGGTTTTAGCGAAGAGGATTCAGATGAAGACGGTGACCGATTAGAACGTCAGCTTGATGAACTTTACTCCCAATACCAGGAAGCACGCGACAGTCGAGATGCCAAATTACGGGCCAAAAAGTCTCGCAAGGATTACGAAACAGAGGAGTGGGAAGGCTTTTCTGATGAGAGAGAAGGAGAGGAATCAGACGACGAATCTCCTCGGACATTCCCTGTAGCACCTGTGGGAGACCATGTCAAGGGTCTTTCCAACAAGGCCGCTATGTTTTTCGATCAAGATATATTCCGCGATCTTGGAGCCGTTGAGGATGGAGAAGCAAGCGATGACCCCAGTGCCACAAAGGCAAATGGCATGGCCAAAGAACAATCTACTGTCACTAAAGAAGAGGAAACCAACAATAAACGAGAAGCTACTTCACCCTCTCCGTCTGTAGCTAGTGATTCCAGCTACCAGGAGATCAAGCTAGGCAAGCCAGAAATCTTTGAAGATGACGACGACCCCCAGTTAAACGATGACCCACGGAAGAAAAATGGACAACTTGGTAGGTTTCTCCAACCACTTATTTTTACATTTATAATGAACAATTCCTAACTCAGTCTTGGCAGATGTCGACATAATAACAGCCGAAGCCATGGCTTTAGCCCATCAAATGGCCAGGGGGGAGAAAACCACGGAAGACTTTGTTGACGATGGTTTCCATAGGTATTCATTCCGCGATGTTGACGGTCTTCCGCAGTGGTTCCTCGATGACGAGAACCAACATTCAAAAATACAAAGGCCGATAACTGCCGCAGCAGCGGCAGCTATCCGAGAGAAGATGCGCGCTATCAATGCCCGGCCGATCAAGAAGGTCCGTGAAGCCAAGAGCAGGAAGAAATTCAAACAGGCTCAGAAGCTGGAAAAACTACGCAAGAAGTCATCGCTGTTAGCCGAGGATGAAGGCATCAGTGAAAGAGATAAGGCCCAATCAATTGCGAAAATGATAAGCAAGGCCACTAAGAAAAAGCCAAAGCAGAGCGTCAAGCTTGTGGTAGCTAGAGGAGGGAATAAGGGCATTTCCGGTCGTCCTCGGGGAGTCAAGGGACGCTACAAGATTGTTGATGCTCGGATGAAAAAAGATATCAGAGCAGAAAAGAGATTGGCGAAGAAAAAGAGCAAATGATACATAATCATGTAGATAGAAGAATAGATCCGCCAATATCTGTCTGCTATTCTTCAACTTTCAATACAGGAATTCCCGAAAGATATCTATCGCTAAGTTATTAACAATCAGCTTAACGCTTACCGAAATAATGGCGTTTTCCAATAAAATATAAAATAAGCCGAAATAACCCTCGTTGATGTTAATTTCAATGACCACCCGTCAAGCTGGGGTCTCATAGTTCACAACTATGAAGGAAACAAATACAAGGGTAGCACCGAACCAATACATTCCAGTTGCATATTTGTGTTGGATAATAATTTGACCAAGCAAGGATAATGGGATGTTGAGACTCAGTCCAATTGTCACGATAACCGGGCTCGTGAGCAATAGCGAAAATGCCCAGCATATATCAGACGCGAAAGATATGATTGCATTAACCTATCAGCAGTCAGCATAAATCCAGCCCTCCCTTTAAAGCCAGTGGCTATAATAACACTTACCAAAACAATCAAGAAGACAAGTTTGGTCGGCGGGAGGGCAAAGGGTTCAATCCCGGTATAATGCAATACCACGAACCCAGGCCAGAGGATTATAGAAGCGAAAACCCCGACCAGACCAAAAAACAGGCGCATGTCAACTCGTGACTCGTCTTCAACCCGTCTCTTCATCAAAGTGGTATAAACTCCGTATAACACAGCGCTAAATGCGGCCATGAAGTTACCCAGAATAACTTCACCAGGCGACTTATTTGGAAAAGTACCATGCTTCGAATCGGTCGAGCTAGAGATATCCACTCTAGATATTAAAAATATGCCGAGGAGGGACGTAAGAACTCCGATGCATTTGCGGAGTGTGAACTTCTCAACCTTGATCATTGCCCCGAATATAAGTGTCCATACACCTAGAATAGTATGTTAATAACCATATTCTACATTTCCATCATGGAGAGCTTACCACTTGTAGAGGTCAAGACAGTGGTACTGGCAACACTTGTGTACTGTAGACATGCCATGGCAAAGTAGTTTGCCTTTGAGCTTGTAGTTAGATTGGCATGATTCCTAAGAGGGTATTTTTGAACTTGAGCGTATAGATATATCATACCGCAAACTTCATATGAGTTAGTACCTATTAGCAGAAAATAATTCAGAAGGTCCTGCTTACCCATATTATACAAAACTCCAAGCTCAAATTAGCTGTTTCTTTGAACCCCAGCTTAGTTCTGGTGATCTCATGTTGCTCCTGTGCACCTGTATTCCTTGTCTCTTGTGGCAGTCCTTCATCTTGATCGGGGTGTAGAATTGGCTGTGTCTCTTCCCCAGATTTAGGCCGCTCAAACTCCCGAATTAGTGCTTGAAATGACCTGATATCTCGTAGTTTTCCTGTCTTCCAGAGCCTGTGAATTCGCCCACCAACGAAAGGCACCAACATGAAGACGAAGGAGCCACTGTTAAGGTAAGTTACCAGGTATGGCTTGGAATAAGTGTTATCGGCGAATATAGTCTGTTATTGTTATGCAGCATCGAGATTAGTAAATAAGTACAAGTCATGCAATCATAGCCACAATTATTATTGCATTATTGATGGCAGGAATATGCAGCGTTTAGCTTGAGCTGTGAAGAAGCTGTTGGGAACCTACGCTGGCAAGGAAGTTCGACGTCGTCCAGAGCACCACGACTATCAGGAGGAGCAAAGTGCCCAAGGTCCGCCGACCCCATCTGCCCATGCTGGTTGGGGCTATCGGGCTACCTTGATCTCCGTCCAAGAGTGCAGTGGTCGATGTTGGTTGTGGTTGATCATTGTTGGATGGCCCTCGGTCCTCGTATCACGGGTTGGCGCTATGAACGCCTTCAGAGTCACCGTGACCAGCCACCATATCTACTAACGACAAGCTGACATGTAGTTATATCACATATACAGGCCGGGTAATACATGCAAAAAGAAGGGTAAACAAAGGACAGAGGCTCTGCCCCAGTGATCCCGTCCTACTTTCTGTGGCTGGCTACTGTATGCTTTGGTGTAACGCTCCGGCCTTGCTGCTGGTCTACCGATTTTGGTTATGCCTGAGTGAAGGGCGCAACGAAGTATAAAGAGGACACCTTATCACGGCAAATAACAGAAGGAAAATCATGGAGTATTCCAAATAGATAATAGCTGCTGGGAGAAGGGATAATATAGGTCAAATGGCTATATATATACACTCTGTATTAAAGGAAAACCGAGTGCAAGAAATAGGGATGACATCTGATTCAGTACAGCTGAACTTCATTGAACGCGGAATGGGCCGCCCCCCCCCCCCCCCCTGAATGGTGACTCTGGCAAAGTGAAAATTCGGCAAGGAAACGATAATATGCAACGGTCAATATCCTATATCCCAGACGAGAGGGCAAAAGGTTGCGATATTAAACAGAGGGGGATGTAAACGCCGAAACATGATAATTAAGTGAAGGAGGGGGTTCTAAGAGGATCAGTTGAGATTGTCATTAACAGGCACAGGCATCTCGATCACTGTCGTGGTTGACGTTGATCACATCATCGAAGTCCCCATTGAACTCCTCGGACTCTTCTTGCATGAGAGCACTCTTAGCAATCACTGTTATTCATACACATATTAGTATATCGCTTTAAAGATGTTAATGAGGTGTTAAAAAGACAGACCTTCGAACGCTTGCTCTACATTAATAGCCTCCTTAGCACTGGTCTCAAAGTAGGGGATGTTGCCCTTCGACTGACAGTATGTAGAGGCTCTCTTCGAGGATATCATTCTTTTGCTCTCTTCGACATCAATCTTGTTTCCGAGTACAACCTATACGTTGCATTAGATTTTCTAAAGTCTAAGCAGTAGAAATAAAAATATGTTACTCACAAAGGGGAAGCTTTCGGGATCTCTCAAGTTGGCTTGAATTAGGAACTCATCTCTCCAACTATCCAAGGTCTCGAAACTCTTTGAGTTATTGACGTCGTATACAAGGACACAGCAATCGGCACCTCGGTAGAAGGCAACTCCCAGCGACTGGAATCTCTCTTGCCCCGCAGTATCCCATATCTGGAAGAAACATTTAGTATGTTGTATACCCAAGTGACGCTTGGTGTAAAGCTCAATATGTACCTGCATCGTGACCAGTCGTCCATCTACCATGACTTCCTTGGTAAGATAGTCAGCTCCGATGGTGGCTTTGTAGCTAGCACTGTATTTCTTGTTGACCTAGCCATCAAGGAAAAAATATTAGCATCGCGATTCTCCCAAGGAGCAGTATAACTCGGTATAGAATGGAAGAGCCACTAACATATTGGTTCATCAAGCTCGTCTTGCCCACACCGCTATCACCAAGGATGATAACCTGTATTTGAAGAAGAAAAGCATCAGTGACCCATCTTCCATCAGACAGAGAGACCGTCTTTATATCTATGGCACGTAGCCCACCTTCAATAGAACCTTCTTGCGGGACGCCATGGCTGCAGGGTAGTATGTATGACAGCAAAAGGCAAGCTCGGGTTGCCAGGAAGTCGGTCGAAGAGCGGGAGGGCGCCGTCAGGGAACACCACGCAGAGCCGGGCTGCTAGAGTTGTTTTGCTGTATCGGTCGGTGAATATAGGACACTGCGTACACTATACGGCTCTACTCTGACTATATCTGTATAACCAGAGTTCTCTGCAGGCGATGAGGAGGTGATGAGGGTCGTTATTTGGTGTTTAGAGCTTCCAGCGAAGTTGAAGTTGCATAACATCATAACACGGGCGCCAAGACCACGACCCTTATTTTCCCCTGGTAGCGTCACATGATGGACACAGCCCGTATAAACAAGAGGAGATGGGATTGATGTAGGCAGAGACAGGGATGCAAGACGATGGAGACACGGTTGTCTAGAGCTTGATTGCTTTGTAGAGGAGAACCTGCTACGGCTACTGACTGACCTGCTACGCTTGGAACACTCTGAGACAACAGAAGAAACTAGATACTGCAACGGGTCTTATGGGCTTCCCTGGGAGAATCAAGCCGTACCTGAACAATACAGGCACTCCTAGTAACTAGTTAATAATGGTTAGCCGCCTGTTTCCAAGCTGCTTGCCCTGCGAGCGTTAGGCTTAGTCGCAATGCCAAGACCAGCCGCTGCTTAGCCGCAAGTCACCGCGACGTCATGCAGGTCGCAAGATAGACACGCTACGGGCGACAGACCTCTCTGCAGCACGCCATATATGAAGGGGTACGCTGCAGAGCGTTTCTAGTGTTCCTTCGGAAGCAACACCGCAGGGAATAGAGAGACCGCTACCTATAACTGCCTGCCTCAGAAGTCCTTATCTCATTTCCTACTACAGCGGAGTGAATGGGCCATCGGGTCAAGATACATTTTCATAGCCAACTTATATATAAAAACTCGCAGAGAGGTGGTATATTAATATAGATATAGAATAAATAGATATAATAGAAGAACTTCATTATTACGTAGAATATTCTGTGTTTTATCTTAACTACCTAAGCACCCTTTCAGGACACTCTCTCTTTTGCCGACGGCCTGGCTTCTCTCCCTAAGCCTGCTCTCTCTTAATCCTGGCTCTCTAAACATACTCTCTAGTAGAGGTAAGAGTCTTAAGTAAGAGAAGCCACTAGTAAGGAGGGCCTAGAGAAGAGAGCGAGAGAGCAGGCTTAGGGAGAGAAGCCAGGCCGTCGGCAAAAGAGAGTGTGTCCTTAAGGAAAGGGTGCTTAGGTAAGGTGTGTAAATATTTATCTATATAAGGGAAAAAAGAACTTTGACCCGATGGTCCATTTAGTCCGCCGTGCCTGGCTTTACAATTCCTTGAGCTTCTGACCCCACGGCCCTTGCTCTCCATCACTATCCCTTACACACAGCGATCTTCACCCTCACGTGCAAACTTGCCTCGGCCTAGCTTCACGGTCAGTATGTCAAGCTGGAGGCAGGACTACTCTGCAGCCTTGCGTATCAGGGACCAGCGAGAAAAGGCATATATTTCCGTTCTGGAGGCCTGTATGTCCTTCTATAACATTTCACTATAACCCTGTCTATGCTTGTGGTTTACTAAACGACAGCCTAGATACCCGCTTAGCTGATCGCTCAGGCAGCCTGGAAAAGGAACGAGCTGAAGCCGTTCGATATGCCCAAAACCTTTCAAGGTTTAAAGGCACTGATACCCACCAAGACAAAAAATACCAGAGCCCGGATGATAGTCCTGCTGTCATATCAGGGCTAGGCCCCCTGCTTACTGCGAATCAAGATTTGGCTGCTGCACAAAAAGCGCGAGAAGAACTCTCAAATAAGCTTGAGCAAGCCACCGCTAAGTTAGATACGCTCATGAGAAAATTGAATACAGAGTCACAGAGGGTAGCGGATTTGGCTGTAGAAAGAACACAGCTACAGATCCGTCTCAGGGATAGGGATGAGGAATTAAGGGGGAAGGCTAAGCTACTTGACGTTCGTTCCGACTTGATACCTTTATTCTAATAGAAATACTAACCTATAAGATTATAGGATGTCCAGGATGAGCTTGTGTCACTGAATCTACAATTTAATATGGCCGAAGAGCGGGCTAAGAGGTTTGAAGAAGAGAATCAACAGCTCGTAGATAGATGGATGGCAAGAATGGGACAGGAAGCCGAAGCAATGAACAAAGCATCCAGGTTTTCATAATCTAGGTGTATACGCCCCGAGGGTTAATGATAGGACAGCTTGTCGATAGGTGATGGAGTCTCATTACGCGGTCTTAGATGAATTAAATAAACAGGATACTAAATGTACATTGATTTGCAATTTCTTTGTCTAATAACCACAAAGTTCTCTAAATACGGAAAGCGCCAAATCACCTGTCACTGTCAAGCTTGCTCAAACGATAACACAAACCCGAACCCAACCATTCCAGCCGTCCGGGTATAAACCACCAAAGTACCGCCAATCCAACGAGTGTTCTCCAAAGAAAGAAATGAGTTTAACAACACTTCGACCACTTTATAGACAATGACCAATCTATAGGGAAAGGGAAAAAAAAGTAACGGGATATGCATGGCTCGCGAGAGCTCTGGGAGGTGACCAAAAAAAAAAGCAGGAGAACTAAAACGTCTAATAATTGCGGCAATATCCATCTATAATCGTCAGCAACGTTTCAAAAGGGATATAAACGCAGCAGCGGTCTAGGTCGTTGCATCCAAAAAAAAAAAAAAAAAAAAAAAAAAAAAAAAAAAAAAAAGTAAAGAGAAGAGTGTAGAATCACTCAGTTATAAAGAGAGTCTGAAAAGGCTCGTAGCCTGGAGCTATCCTTTTTCGCAATAAAATAGGTGCCTCCAGCATTGGTCCAGCTAACAGAGTCAGACCAGTAATTATGCCTCTCAACTGAAAGCAGGTTGATGGGTGAGTTGAGGTTTCGGGCTTGCATCTTGTGTCCTGTCGGAACAAAGGATTTAAGTGATACAATCTGGCAACCTTCTTTAAGGTCAAGCAAAAGATTGATTATCCTGTTATTTGTCTCCGGGGTGAAAGCCTGATTGTTGATAAGAACGACGTCAGCCCGCCGTAGAGCCTTAGCTATGCGTTCGTTGTCCAAGAAGTCACCCTGGACTAAATGCACTTTGCCCGATGACAGGCCCCATAAACGACATCTAGCTTTGAATTCAGCCTGTTGCAGACGGGCCAAGTCGCAGGCATTTTGCATCATCTCACAGCCCCAGCTCTCACAACCAACTTCCAGGGAGGCCTGGAGGACAACGTTGCCCACACCAGAACCCAGATCGACAAATACCTGGTCAGATTTTAAATGCGTCTTTTGGAATATGTCTGAGATAAAGCGGGGTAAAAGCTCTCCATAGACGTTATCAGTTCCGCTTTCGTACTTCTTGAGTGATTCCACACGCAGAGAGACAGTTCGGCTATACACCTGGGTTAAAATTCTCTCAACCCACGGCAGCGAGAGCGAATGCATCGCATCGAGGTGTTTGGCAATAACGCCTTCGTCCCGGAGCCGTCCGATGGTTTCATTATACGCCTTCACCGCATTCCAGAAGTCCTTTGGCGATTCCTGTTTGATGGCACGCCGCAAAAGACGGATATAGCCGGTGGAGTCGTCGGTGAAAGCACATATCTCATCCTCGGGGATATAATTGTGTGATACGGTTTCAACTACCTGCACAATATCTTCCAACGGCTTGAACCCGTCGTTTTCTCGTGGTATGACCAGCTGATACCTCTCCCTCTGCGAGTATGTGGGATACTGAAGAGCTATTGTCGTGCACCCGCTGGGCTCTTTAAAAGCACTGCTGAATCCCGGCGTCTTCTTCTCGATGGATGCTATGTCCAAGGCATGGACCATCGGGAATGAGTGTTCGGCAGTCTCAGAAAACGCAATCTCAGAGCGTAACTGGCGTTTTAGATCTGGCTCCGCGCTCGCGCTCACCTTGGTCCTTTTCGATAACCGGATATCCAGAGACTCGTCGGTCTCGCTGTCATCGCTACTGCTAAGGAGTTGTTGGACTGCGGGGGACGATCGCTTGCGGGACACGGATCTTGAACGGGGCGGGTTAACGGCTAGATGATCGGACTTGCTAGCAACAGCAGCCTTCTTTTTCACGGTTCCAGTAGAGTCGGATAAGGTCGATTTCCGTGGAGAGGTGACGGTACGTTTGGCGGATGATTCGGAGTGCGCGCGCTCGGAGGGGGGTTTCACGGGGTGTGATGGGGCCGATGAGGACCGGACGATGGGCGGCTTGCATTCGACTTTGCGTATCTGAGCCTTTTGGGCCTGTATCACACCTGTCCCTTTCTTCTGAAGGTGGTCGAAAAAACCCATCGTCGGTCACAAGGCTGCAGGCAGACCCTGTTGCCCTCGCAGCTTATTCAGTGTCGAGTAAAGAATGTGGATGGTTAAAGAATAGGCGTGTGAAAGAGAAATCAATGAATAGAGAATATTTATAAAGAGCGAAAGGTGTGTTAATGATATCTTCACGCCAAACCCGTGAAGCCTAGCTGTATTTGCTTCCCTTCGCTTCTTCTCTTCGTCGTCTTCCGCTTTCTTTATTGTCGAAAAAGCGCGGCGGATCCATGGATCGTTGACGATGTCACGGGACCTTGGTCACGAGGGCTGATGAGGCTGAAAAGCTTAAGCTTACTAAGAAAGTATCTTCGTAATCGACGACACCTTAATGTTACGCACGGAAAGTCTAGAAAAGGCGAAGGAAAAAGTAGATTAGCAAGGGGCAGGTTTCCAGGTTGTGGCAATAGCTGGGCGTTATAAGACTCGGTTAAACCTTTTTACAGAAAGGCAGATGAAAGGTAGATCGCACCTGTGTTGATTGATGGCACTTGGGATGAGATGGGATCGTATGTAGTATATATAATAGTGACAGGACAAATCTCCATAAACATGATATTAAACAAATTAATTTGTTTAAAGAGACATGGCCAATAACAGCCAGGAAATAGCCCCAACTCGACAGGGTAGTGGGTAGTATGTCCAGAAAGTGTCGTCCGGGTTGAGTCGATCAAACGCTAGACAAATGAAAGGGATAGAAGATGGTGTTTGAGGGAGGGAATGCATCTGCAGCAGCCTCACATTTCATTAGTAGCCCAAGAGGAGGCAAAGAGGAAAAAAAGGCGGAAAGAAAGAGCGAAAAGAAAGAATATACAGATGGCTCTGATGTGTAGAATAATCAGATATGCATGGTTAATGCATTGATTTTAGGCCTGCTGGTCGCTTGGAACGTTGGATGCAGAAGGGTATTAACATTAGAAGTAGCGATATGCTCCAAAAAGGGGGAGATTTAGTTTGAGGAGCTCAGCTGCAGAAAATTAAAGTAAGAGAGCTTTGCTTTTAACAACGGGTGTTCAAGGAGCCGCTCAGAGCTCCTGTTGAAGGGTACATGGATGGGTCTTGCAGTCTCATCAGCACGCTTTTGACCGAGCCGAGCCACTTGTCGACAGACTCTTCGTCGTAGGCGCAGAAACGGTAGGTGACGTCTTCGGTGATGAGCTGAAAACAATATATCTTTGACCTTGAGAGGGGGTCAACCTCTGCTGCATTGATGACGTCGGTCATTGGTATGATCTTGACAGCCGAGTATTCGTGTTGGTCCTTGTAAAAGGAGAGGCTCTGGACTCGGAGAACCGTCCATAGCTTTTTCCATTTGCGGACACCCTTCCGGCCCTTTAAACATTGCAGATATCCCTGGAATATGACGCCTTCTGGGTCTGGCTGGCTCGGAGCAGCTTCACTCTGGCTACTGGCCAGGCGGCGTAGACTCTGTTGCTCTTGTTGTTGCGGTGGCTGTTGATTGTCTCTATAAGAGCAGGATTTCCGGTTAAACGCTGCTTGAGACCTCGAAGAAGGCAAAGACTGGCCGGCAGCATCAGAGAATTCAGAGCAAGAGGTGATTTCGTTGCCTGAATAGTCCTGGGTAGTTCTGCGCTTCACGCGACCAGGTTGTGCAGGTGCCGTCAATAGAGAAGGAGTCCGTCCCAGAGCCGCCGTGCTTCCTCTGCCTTCAACCTCGGACATCTCAGCCGCACTCTCGTCTGCCTCCGCGATGGTCTGCTTCCGGCCGTGTATCTGTTCGTAGTAGTTTACGACCGAGTCTGGATAGTCGACCGAGCACTCGCGGTGCAGCTGCTCAACCCATGATTCCGCCTCCTCTGTCGACGTAGCCTGGAAGCGGTAGTTCTTCGAGGGCGAGAAGACACCAAAGACGTTCGGCCTGTTCGACCTGGGCGTTGACTTGACATGGGCAACGGCCGAGACGTCGGAGAGGGAGAGGGCGAGCTGCAGCTGGGCCTCTTCCTTGTCTTTGTATAGCGAGAGCAGGTTCGGCCGCAGAACGAGGTATCCAGGCTTCCACGACGACTTGAACGCCTACTCATACAAACGGTCAGTCAGTCAGTCAGTCCGCCAGCCAGCCAGCCAGTTCAATCGATCGATCAGCCAGCCGACGATGGCATCTCTCAATGAGTGGTAAAGCGTACATGCTTGCTCTTCGACCGCCGCAGCACCTTGCCTCGCTTCAGCACCCGGTCGAACTCGAAGCTCCCGTTCTCGTTGACCGGCGAAAAGGCATCCAGTATCTGGCTCCGACGGACTCCAGCTCTCTCTGTGTGTCCCTCTGCGGCGATCGCATCCATCGCAGTCGATCGATCTTCCGCTGCTGGGAGTTGTAGGTGCAATGTCATCCCGTAAAAAAAAAAAAAAAAACTACCTAGGAAAGGAAAATAGAAAAAAAAAAAGGCGATATCAAGTAGGAATCCTATAGAAGACGCCACCCCTCGATCTTTAGAAGAGGAGAGTCCTCCGCCTGACGGGATCCAGGAAGTACTGCAGCGGTCCTTTTAATGCCATTTTTGCCATTCATCTATCTCACGTAGTTATTTATGGCCCCTGTGAAGCAGGAGACGGGCGTCTCTTCTCCAGGTCCACAGGCGGTGGCCTCGAACAGTTTCAGGTCCGCTCCCCCGGCCCCTCCAACGACCGGAGCGAGAGCGCTAGCTAGACGGCGGGATACGAGAGAAGCAGCGAGGAAGAAGAGGCTTAACATCATATTATTACCAAGAGACACTCAAGGCCTTCTGATACGCTGGCTCAGTCCTCAGTCAACTCAACCGCCCGTAGGATCCTTCAGGGGCTTCGCCTGATGCGCTTTTGATATCTGCTTTCCGCTCACCATCGCCAGCGCCTGCAAGGCTGACTCCTTTGCTGCAGCAGAGCGGCGCTTCCTGCGAGTCCATCAGTGCCCGTAAAGGCCACCCACCTCGCCTGCTTGCTGTCCTGCTGGCGATAGTCAAATCTCTGCTTCGACTTGACTGCTTTTTATTTTTTTAATTTTTTTTTTTCTTTTCCTCTCCCTTTTTTTTTCCCGGTTGGTCAGGAAGTCTTGGCGTGTTTCTTCTCTTTCAACTTTCTTTTCGCTTTCGACGACGACGGAAAGACAGAAAAGACAAGCAGAAACATCACCAGCCCAGCGAAGCCTGCGAGGACGACGAAGAATAAGAAGAAGAAGAGCGTCGTCGACTGTCTTCCTGTCTCGTCTGCGGTTTCTCATGCTCTCGATGGCTCTGCGTTAGTCGATCCCCCCCCGTCTGCCGTCCGCCCATCCCCATCGTGCTTCGTCACCGTTCGCCATCCGCGGCCAGTCTTGTCGACTCCAAGCCAACAACCATCACATTCCTCTGACCCCGTCGCTCGTTTTTGAACTCCCTCGTTGTCTGCAGCGTCTTTCTCCTTCTCAGATTGCAAGCTCTGAGACGCCCTCGAGCTTTGCTGCTTCGAATTCGGCTCCTTTTCTTCAGCTAAGAAGCAACAAAGACACAGCAACAGCAAAGGGAAAAAAAAAAAGGAAGAAGAACCCGCCTCAATTCTGCGCTGCTATACACACACCCGTCGCCATCATGGGGATAATGAAGCGACTAACGAAGAGTGTGCCTGGCATCCTTTCCCCTTCGCCGCTAGATGGCAGTCTTACCAATGAAAAGGGGACGATAATTTCGAGATTCGCTTTTTTTAAACGCCGCATACGACTACGGAGGAACTCTTCTATTTCGATCCCTCTGGGCCTTGTTTTACTATTTCCATGCATTGTAATAATCCTTATTGTCCTCCTCTTCGTTACCCATCCTTCCTCTCCCGGTGGGATGCTGATGCCCACTGGTACTCCTCCTTCTATACGGTATGTTCTCCTTAACACGTAAGCTACATCGAATTTTTGTACGAAGTGTATACTGATGGCTATACTCCCGGAAATCAGAAAAATCAGCGAGAAATATGACAAAGTGTTTGAAGTAGGCTGCAGAGAAATCGACACCAGCCAGCCTAGAGCAAACGCCGCTTTCGTCGTCCTGGCCAGAAACAAGGAGCTGGAGGGTGTAATCCAGTCTATGAAGTCGATCGAGCGCCACTTCAATCGATACTACAACTACCCATATGTATTCCTGAACGATGGAGATTTCGACGATAACTTCAAGGATACCGTCACCAATTACACCAAATCCAGCGTGGAGTTTGGCAAGATCGACTCGTCAATGTGGGGATACCCTGACTGGACCGATGCTGAGGTAGCCAAAGAGGGTATCCGCAAACAGGGAGACGCTGCTATTATGTATGGAGGAATGGAGAGCTATCACCACATGTGTCGATTCTACTCTGGGTTCGTCGTCGTCTTGTCTTACACCCATACTTCCCTGGATACTAACGTCTGTCTAGGTTCTTCTATAAACATGAGCTGCTAATGAAGTATGAGTGGTACTGGCGCCTGGAGCCAGAGATCAAGTACTTCTGCGATATCACCTAGTTCGTTGCCCTGAATCCCTCTCGTTTAGACAATCAGCTGACCTTCATTCAGTGACCCTTTCCTAGAGATGGCTAAGAACAACAAGACGTATGGCTTCACAATTGCCGTCAAGGAACTTAAAGAGACCGTGCCGAATATCTTCCGCTATGCGTCTGCCTACAAACGAACGAACAACATCACTTCCCAGGGTTTATGGGAAATGTTTCTCGAGGACCCCGTTGAGGAGGAAAAGCCGGCAGAAGAGAACAATGCCCTCCCAGATGAAATTCTACAGACCCAGCCCGGTGCCGCCGGCCTCAAAGACGTTGATCCCGAGGCAATGGAAGGCGAGACGTACAATATGTGTCATTTCTGGAGTAACTTCGAGATCGCACGGTTGGATTTCTTCCGTAGCAAGGCTTACGAAGACTTCTTCACGATGATGGATAGGAGTGGTGGCTTTTGGAATGAAAGAGTACGTCTTGTTTCTACCCATCCTCCATATATAAGTATCTTGAATACGGATGCTAACGAAAACCATTCTCACTAGTGGGGAGATGCACCTATCCACTCTCTTGCTGCCGGCGCACTTCTATCACCAGCTGACATTCACTACTTCAGAGATTTTGGATACCGTCACACCACCATCCAGCACTGTCCCGCCAATGCTCCAGCCAGACAACGCGTTCGAGATCCATATCTCGAACAAACCACTCTGGACCCAAAGCTTCGCCAAGAAGAGGACGAATACTGGGACTCTCCAGATCCACCCAAGGAGAACGGCGTTGGCTGTCGATGTCGCTGTGATACCGACATCGTCGACGTGGAAGGCAAGCATGGCAGTTGTCTAGCGGATTGGGTTAAAGTTGCAGGAGGATGGGCATCGCCGTAGATCATCAACCACTACGCAACGGCCATCTTCTCTTGCTTCTTTCTCTATATCTTTTTCCTTTCTCTTTTTTGTTTCTCTCTGCCGGCGCGACATTGGCTATACCCTTCTGCACACACCTACACCATCGGGTCCGCAACGCCGTGCCACGAAGATATATCATGACTTGTCCTCCCTTACCCTTCCCTCTCCTTTTTTTTTTTATATCATCAAGCCACCTTCGAAATCCCGTCCCCTTTTTCTTCGTCATTCCGTCTTATATCTTCCCCGGTAACTGTATCTCGGGGAGGATTACAGTACTCGAAAACTTTGAACCCGTTCCGTTCCATTCCCTTTTCCATGATATGAGATAGAGTAAGGGCCTCGCAGCTCTGCTTTCTGCTGCCGACCAACAATTATCATTTAATACAGTTCTTTGGCTCGATGCCTTACCTCTTTTTCTTTTTCTTTTTCTTTTTCTTTTCTTTTCTTTTTTTTTTTTTTTTTTTTTCTTGTTTTATCATCGCTGTCCACCTGTTGCAGAAGCCCATTCGGATATACTAATAAGAGAGAAGGAGAGAAACATCGTTTGCAATCAACAGAATTGAGTCATTACCATCATCCTCATCCCCAAAACCCCTTCTTCCTCTTGTCAGCTTCCTACACCCAACTTCTATATAAAATCTTGTCCACTTTTAAACCCGCGTTCTTCTCTCTCTCTCTCTCTCTCTCTCTCTCTCTCCCTCTCTCTGTTTTATCTCGCATGGTCTCCCCCTTTTTGGTAAATTGCTTTTAAACAGCTCCCCTGCCGTTGCTGCCACTGCTGTTGCTCCTCCTCACTTGCCTATCATCTCTATTTCCACCCATTGTCAAGGGACACAAAATCTCCGCCTTGTTTTTATCCAACATACCCTATCCTCGTAATTGAAAAATTACACAGCTTATGAATAATGGAACCAGTTCAATATATCGCCATGGCGCTTGTTGGTCTAGTAGGGCTTTTGCTGATGATATATAGAAAAGGAGAGACTTGCAATGACACTTGCTTTTACCGCGGAAATTCCAGCTATTCAAGTGCTGTTGGCCATCCCGCAGACAGAGACTTTATATCCAGATGAATTTCGAGGCCAAAATGCATGGTTTGAGGAAAATGCTGCAA